AAGTAGCCAGGTGACCCAGGTAAGCTGAGCCAAAATGAACACTCTAGGGACTGTATGTGCTCTAGTGGAAAGCCAGGATGAGAGACTATCCTCATAATAACTGGACTATTCAATTGTCCCTTGGAATTCTTTGCATTCTGAGTGCTACCTCTGTTTTAAGGGCTTTGGGGATTTTGTGTTTGTTTTGGAACTGCAATTCAGGCCACTGGAGTTTAACTTTCTAATTGTGGACTATTTCTTTGGTAGTTGTTCTTATTAAAGGTTAGGGGTTTTTGCTTATCAAGATTCATATATTTTTGTTGTGTTTATCAATGTTTTTGTAGCCATCTTGGAACGCTGATGTGAAAAAGAATCTTCCCTGCTCCACCTCCCCAGTAAAAGTGAAAATTAGGCTTTAAGGACATTGGAACCTCTACATTCTATTAAAAATGGCTTTCTAGACTCTGACTAAATCTAAGCCAAGCCATATCAATTCTGACAATCAGGGCAAGTAAAAATCAAGTATGTAATTCATGATGTGAAAATAATTAAGTACTAAAGATAAATTCAGTTGAGCAGAAGAAGGAAGGTATATATTAAATTTTAGTATCCTTAAAATTTCAACTCCTTGAAGCAAAGCCTTATTTGCCTCACCCTGGTTATAGCTCTGACCCTAAGGGATACTTTCCTTCTACCACCTGGCTTCTGACTTCATTATTCAAATGAAACTGTTCTCTCCAAAGTTTCCAGTGATCTCCTAATTATGATCAGTCATAAGACAAGGGAGCAAGGGATGCCAAAGTAGAGGACAGTGTAAAATTGAAGTAATTCACCAAGGGTTCAATATGAGGTGGGGTGGTGGGGCAGAGAATGCAGCCAGTGCAGGGGTGATGGTCTGAGAAAGAAATGAGATAGAGGCATCAAAGGTTAAAATAAGGATGAAGAAATTAGAGGTTTTAAAGCATAAGGAGTGATATAAGCCATTATGATCGAAGGTATTTTGGAATTCATGAAGATGGAAATGTAACCTTTGTGGGTAATGATCAAGGGGATGTCCATCTGTAGGTCATGACAATTCAGTAGTTTGAGGAATTGTAGTGTGAGATAATGATTGTAAAACACTTTGGAAACCTTAAAGCCCTATATAAACACCAGCTATTTTAATTCTCCTTCTTCTCATCTTTTTAAGTGGAGTTCAGTAAAAATGGTCCTGGGACAAAGCTTTATCTTGCTATTATTCTTTTATGTAAAGTTCTGTGGGCTGTTGCACAGGTAGATAAAATAACTGCTTTTTAGTAATTGAATGAAATTACTGGCTTTTAAGCTTATCTTTTCTAGGTTCACTGAAAGCATCTTTGGGACAACTTTAGTAGCATATAGGATGATTGGGATACTTTGTACATTGTCCTATTCCCACATAACTGATTTCTTTCTACTGAGTTTCTGTTTTGAAAGCTTTTTGTTCCATATTACTTAGAGATTTTTGTTCCATATTACTTTTGTTCCATATTACTTAGAGATTTTTGTTCCATATTACTTAGAGATTAGGCCATATCCATTAAAAATGTTGTTTTAAAATTATTATGGATCGATGTCATATGTGAGTGATTTGGTGTAACAATTCTGTCCCTGATAATTGTGCAATTCCAATACAGTTCATTTATTGAATTCTCAAGAATATTTTGTGGTCTGTATTTGTTATACAGGGATTTATCAGTTATTGGTTTATAAAGTATAGTGAGTTTTTGATATAAAACTCCAGCCACCAGATTGAGTCTTTCTAGGTACTCTATTGGTGCTATATTTTTTGCATCTTGAAGTATTGTGTTGCACAGTTTATACTATTTTCTTGCAAAATATACACTGATCTATTAGTCTAGTGTCTTAAGGATCACCCATCTACACTTTCTGGTAGCAACGACCTGGTTCTGAATTGATATAAGTCCTTGCCTTTCCTTTTCAGTCATTTGTTCGATGTTCTTTGTTGACTTATTGTTGGTTGAGTTAGTTGGTTGACTTATTGTTGGTTGGTTGGTTGTTTCCCAAGAGGAGCCTTTTGATTCCAGCCTTGGATTATAACAATTTCATTGCCTCTATCTAAAGGTAATCATTTCATAGGTTCAACTCAAATGTAACCACTTTGGTGTTCATTTAAGAAATGTGATATCACAAGCATATTGTCAGCCTTTAAAATTGATGGGTGAGGTAATATTTACTTATTTCAAAAGAATTTCTTTTAAATTCTTATTTATCATATGCTTCCTCCTTTTTGATAAGAAAATATCCCTTTTTCTAATAATTGTTTTGAGGCAATGGGCTTTGTGTTTACAAATATTGTCCAGATTTTTGTTAGGATGTCTTTCAAACCTATTATGTTTCATTTTATAGTTCACAAAGCATATGTTAAGACTGGTATAGCATAAGTGTTCATTGCTTTAAATATGTTGCTGATGGTCTTATTATTATTTTCCCTGGTGGCAAGATTTTAGATTTCAATATTATCACTGTTAACTGTTGTCTTTTCCCATTTTCTGCCAGAAAAAACAATTGCCTTTAGGTTTGCATTTATAGCAATCAAGAATTCATGAGTCATCAATAGGATATTTGTAACTTTGTGTCTTTGGAGAATCAGATCATAGCTTTAGAGTTATAGGGGCCTGAAGGGGAATTATATGACTTTTGCCCAAAAGCAACCAAATTGCAAAGAGCAGAGCCAAGATTTAATCCCAGGTTCTCCAACCCCAAATCCCACACTCTTTATCCCTCATCGAACCCTGCACTTACCAATTTGAGTTGCAAAGTATCCCTGTAATGATTAGAACATTGAACTAGGATTTAGGATACCTATATTTTCCCAATTTTGACCCTAATTCTCTATGGGACATAAGGCAGTTATCAACCCAGTCATTGAATTGAGTGCCAATTTCTGAACTAATTGTAATAATCATGGTGATAATCAATGATTTTTCTATGGTGCTTTTTGCTAATCACAGGTTTTCTTAGTTATTCATTATCCTAAAGCCTGGCTTATTATACACCAGGTTTTATCTAGGGCAGGGTGACCGGAATTTTGGCCAAAATCATCAAATTTAAAAATGCTGAAAGCACTTTCAGTCCTTCAGCAATAAAGAAACAGAGCTTGGAACTTAGCAAGAACATTTGGCTGAAATATGTAACTAGCAGATGGCTCGCTTTCCCCCCCAATAGTTTTATCCCTAGTGAGGTTTTTCTCTGACCTAGCCTCTGGACATGGCGATGGTTTCTCTAACAATAGCATCCTCTGATCAGAACTAGGATCCAGGCTTATGTTAATTACAGGGCATGTTTCCTGCTTCCTGTCTCACCCTAGTTGCTTACACCCTCCTCAAAAAAGATCACTACGTATGATTCTCTCAGTCATTCCCCTGAAGTCATCCTCAATCATCAATAGATACACTACGAAGTGATGATTTATTTATATTTTTTACTTCAGCAGTTTTTGAGCTGCTGCTACTAAACTAGTAGCAGCCATCTACCAAGTTATTGAAGGTCAGCTAAGTGGCACAGTGGATAGAGCACCAGACTTGGAGTCAGGAAGACTGGAGTTTAAATCCAGCCTGAGATACTTACTAGCTGTGTGACCCTGGGCAAGTCATTTAATACTGCTTGCCTCAGTTTCCTCATCCATAAAATGAACTGGAAAAGAAAATGGCAAACCACTCTAGTATCTTTGCCAAGAAAACCCCAAATGGGGTCATGAAGAGTAGGACCCAACTGAAACAACTGAATAACAAGAAGTTATTGAAGGTATTCAGTGAGCGTTATAATGTGATTGGAATCTATATTGATGGATGGACTTTCATTGAAATCACATATTCTTGGAGCATTGAAGTTTGTTTTTTTTTTTTATTTTGTTTTTGGCTAGGCAGTGGGGTTAAGTGACTTGCCCAGGGTCACACAGCTAGTAAGTGTCAAGTGTCTGAGGCCAAATTTGAACTCAGGTTCCCCTAACTCCAGGGCCAGTGCTCTATGTACTGCTCCACCTAGCTACCCCGAGCTTTGAAATTTTCATCAATTAACCAATGAATGAGATCTTATAGGGTAAATGAGAGCTTGTTCCAATATTTATGTGGAAGCCACATATCAGAAGGATTACCCATGTTCTGCTTGGCCCCAAAGGAGAAAACCAAGAGCAAGTTGAAGTGATAGAGTAGCAGATTTAGTCTTGACGTAAAGAAAAAACTTCTTCCCAGTCAGAGCTAGCCCAGGAGGGAACTGGCTGCCATGAGTGACAATCATTCCCACTCACTGGAGACTTTGGGGCAAAGGCTGACAGAGCACCTGTCAGGTGCATTATGGGATTTTAGATACAGCTCTGATAGGCACTTGGAGGCTATCTAGTTCAACCCTCTCCCCTTGAAGATAGGGAAACTGAAGCTCTGGGAGAGTAAAGGACTTACTAAGAGATAGGGTTTGAACTTGAGCCCTGTGGTTTTAAATCCTCCGGCATGATTTACAGTGGGCATCACAGGGGCAGCTAGACAGTGCAGTGGATAGAGCACTGGCCCTGGAGTCAAGAGGACCTGAGTTCAAATCCGGTCTGAGACACTTAACACTTACTAGCTGTGTGACCTTGGGCAAGTCACTTAACCCCATTGCCTAACCAAAAAAAAATAAAAAAAAAATAAAGTGGGCATCACTTCAAATTGTTCATTATATTACATCATCCCCCTGGAAAAAGAGTGATCTATCCACTTCAGCCTGTAAGAAAGGTAATCTTGCATCTTGGCCTTTATCTCTGCATGATAGAAGAAAAATTTTCCATAAATCTAAAAGAGTTCCTAGCAAGTAAGAGGCATATAAATGTTATCTGAAATAATAACAGGGGTAAGAATGAGAGGTAATATAGCACAGAAGAGAGAGTGTTAGACTTTGAGTCAGAAAGACTTGGGTTTGAATTTAGCCCCTGACACCAACTTGTCTGTATCCCTGGACAGGTCACTTAATCTTCATATGCCTCTAGCAACTTCCCTAGGACTTACCTGTGAAGTTGTGAATGAGTTGTGAGTTGCGTTGATGGAGTGAATTCCAGGCCATAGATGACTTATGATCAGTGTCAGTAGAGGGAGTTTCCATACCAAGAGTTCTCTATGCCACAGAAATTACAGATTCTTCTCATATTTCCAAAATAATTAAGATGATGGAGTTTCAAATTACCAAGGTAATGTAATTTGGCATTCAGTTAACCTTCTACCCCTCAGAAACTGAGAATTGTTTTTTTCCCGGTCCTTGGTTGTATTAAGTTCATTTCAAGAGGGGAACATTGAGTACTTCTCAGTTCACAGCTGAGATTTCCCGTTCCCAAGGAAGTCAGCCTGCAAGAGCAGCAAGTATTCTTTGCAAATAGCCAACCTCACACTGCTGGGTCAGGGAGCTAATTTAGTTCTTCATAATGATATGATAATGTTCCTTCTCAGGGGATATAAAGTGGAAATCAGTGTCCTCATGAAATAGCAGGTGGAAAGAAATCATGAAACTGCTAAATGAGCTTTGTTTGTTGAGACAAAATTTCCTCCTTTTCAATAAACCCTAAGACTGCTTTTCTAGAAGGCCTGGTTTAGGAATTAGTGGGAGTAGAAAAGGCATACCTACAATGACTATTGCAACTGGCCTTCATTCTTCCATGTTCGTGCCTTTGAAATTCCCTCTCTGGAGTAAAAATTCTTCTCTAGAGAAGAGGAGACCAAAGGAAGGATATAAAAGATGGATTTTCTACCATGTGGGCCCCATAATCTCACCTTCTACTTCATCTTGAGGCTTTTAGAAAGCAGAAGATACTTTCAAAGAGCCTTAACATTGTTTCTATAGGAAATTTCTTCACAAATAAATGTGAATGATCTCACCATAACAACCCTTTTGAGTAGTGAATTATAGAAATAACCAATTCAAACAAAAGAGATAATCAGCTTTTAAATGATTTGACAAGGATTCAAATTCTAATGAGAAGAAATTAAGTTCATTTAGTGACTTGTAACTTTCTGTTCTTGGTAAGTGTTCAAATATATGGTCAAAATGTTTTATGCTTCCTTTCTGTTCTCCACCAGGTTATAGAGAAATCAAGGACAAATGTTGATCGTAGTATTTTGCAAGCACAAGAAATACTGAGAATGAGTTATTAACCCAATTTAGAAGGGTCATATAGTGATACATGTACTTCATTTCAGTTGTTGTTCAGTTGTTTCAGTTTAGTCCAACTCTTTGTGATCCCATTTGGGGTTTTCTTAGCAAAGATACTGAAGTGGTTTGCCATTTCCTTCTCTGAGTCATTCTACAGATGAGAAACTGAGGCAAATAGGGTTAAGTGATTGCCCAGGGTCGAAAATTTAGTAAGGTCCTTGACTACAGGCCAAGCGCTTTATCCATTGGGCCACCTTGCTGCCCCTTTCCCGATACTTTGTAATCTAAAATAAAACTGCTGACAATTCCTATCCAAGTATATAGATGTGGCTGAAAAGACCAATGCTTTCCCCAATACAATCAAATAGATATACACAATTACTGCTGTTTCCCTTCTTCTCCTTTCCCACTTTTCCCTCTTTCATGGCTTTTAAATGCTCATTTGTTCTAACTACACAATCATTTGCTGTTTTGCTATTTTTTTTTGTATTATATAAATGGCTTGTTTTGTTGTTTTCAGGAGGTCCATGGATTAAAGATTGCACTCTATATAATGCCTATTTAAGATGTTCAGGTAAAGAAAAGCAGGCAGGTCACATGAGCTGACCAAAGAGCCCATTCTACCCTTACCTGGAGTGACATAAGATTAAAGAGACAGAGATATGCACCCAAATTGGACAGGAGGCCAAATAAAATGTCCGTTGAATTAACAGAAGGCTGATTCCATATTCACTAGTGGACAGAAGGATAGTGGATATTCACAGAATAACTCAGTCCAGAAAGTCAGAAAGAAATACTTGCATATACAGATGATTATGAAATCATCCAGGGAGTAGACCGTCAAGGGTTCTGTCCTTAAATCTTTTGGAGTTTAAGAGGTTGTCTGGAGGTAGAACTTATAGTTAGTATTTGCGTGGTAGACTGAAGAGCAGAAAGTAGAGAGAAGACCAGAGCTATATATTTAAGTGGAGAAGAGAATATCGTGACTCTGGCAAAGCAGGATTTTCTTCAAGAGGATATAGTTGGACCATTTTCAGGAGAAAACAGACTGTTATATTTTAAAGCAGAGGTTCTTAACTTTTGGTGGTGGTGGTGAGGGCAGTCCTGGACCCCTTTGGCAGGCTGGTGACGTCTATGGATGTCTTTCTCAAAATAATATTTTTAAATACATAAAATGCACAGAAATACAAAGAAAACCAGTTGCATTGAAATACAATTATCAATTTTTTTTTAAAGTTCATGGACTCCAGTTGAAGAACCCTGGCTCTAAGGAAGATGAATTCACAAGTAGGGCTTGATCAAAAGTCCTCTAGCAGTCTTTGGAAGAAGACAAGGGTAGCCATGATGGCTGTTCCATCACTGCTGAGGGAAACCTAAGCAGTATTTGCTGATCTGGCATAAATGATAAGATCTGCTATGTTTCCAGAACATATAGGTACAGTATGGCAGATCTGTTGACTGATACCAGTAGAAGGGACCCAGAAAACAATGTAAGGGAATATAAAGCCTTGGACCAAAAGTTGTAACAAAACAACACCCCTCAGGGCAGTGTTTCCTATTCTCCTGACTTTTGAAAGTTGAGAATTCAGAAGAGAAAGGCAACTTGCAATGTGAGTAGAGAGTTGGCAAAGAAGATGCTTTCTGAAATTGGGATTTAGATTTCTGTCATAACTTAAAGTATAGAAATGATGAGAAGCTGACCAGAAATGGAGTACACCTAATAAAAAGTTGTAAAAATACATTTGCAGGAAGTAATGAAAATCTAATCATTAGTGCTTTAGAAAGAAAGGAGAGGGTGAAAACTCCCTGTGAATCTGCCAAGCCTGAAAGTAGAAAGCAGAATATATTAAAAACAATGGCAAAAGAAAGGACCAATAGGTAATTCACAGGAGACAGCATTTAAGAAGAGAGACATCAACATAACACATGGCTGGGTGATAAATAGGTTGAAGTAGAAGCCCTAAAACAGAGAGGCTAGCTAGAAGACTTGGCAGTATGGGAAGTATACCTACAATATGACTCTGGCATGATCTAGGACAGTTATTCAATTTGACTCAATAAATATTTCTTATACCTACTCTGTGCCAGGCACTGTATTACGTGCTGGGGATACTGATAAAAAAAAAAAGAAAAACAGTGTCTGCCCTCAAAGAGCTTACAATCTCACGGGAGAAGACAACACCCAAAAAGAGATAGGAAAGTGAAGAGGGACAAGGTAGGGGTGGGGGAATGCCTGGTGCACAGGGAGTTGGAATCAGGCAGAGCAGCAGATGAAAAGTGGAATGAGCTGGAAGTCCAATTTCTGCCCTCTGTAAAGGAAGGCTTTCAGAGGAGTTTGGAGAAGAGGCTGAGGGAGATGGTATCAAAATATGTCAAGAATAAAGAATCCATGAATTCAAGAGTGGAAGCATGGAGAGCATGGAGATTGGATAATCTACATATAAATGATAGTTACATGGGAATATATGTAGCCAGGCTGGTAAAGCACACTAACTACACAAGAACAGACTTCAAAAAAGGTTCAAAGAAAAGTCAATGGTTAATTTTCTGTAAGGAAACTTGACTTGAGAACGATGAAAAAAAAAGGTAAGATTTTCCTTCTCATGAAGGAAATTATAAAAACAGAAATCATTCCAGTTGGGAAGAAAAGGGGGAGCTATCTAAAGATACAAATGTGTCTACATAGGGAATTCATTGACCAATTTGTATTTTTTAAAGAACTGCATCAAAGATGAAAGCAAGAAAATGTAATTTACAACCAAGAATAACTTAAGCAAAACTTCCCACCAGGGTAGAGGGTGGGAGGAATGTTTCAATAAAGGACTTCCAAGCATTTCTGGTGAAAAGACTAGCTGAGGAGAAATTTTGAAACACATACATGAAACTAAGGGGAAACTTCAAAAAGGTAAATACAAGTGAGCATTTGGAAAATACTTTATCAGAATGAAATGTTTGCATTCAAATGAGGGGAAGTGATAAAAACATCAGCTAAGAACCATAGTCAGCAAAGGTCACAAAATCAAGTAAGACAGACGACCCGGGAATGATTTTTGTGTAGTTTTAATGATCTTAAAAAGACGAAAAAAGGTCGGGGGTGGGGTAAAGGACACATTTGGCAAGGGGAGAGGTTATATCTCATATCAGGTGAAAATAGAAGGAAACAAGGAAAGGAAAGAGTGGAGGGAGGAGATATCATCTGAACCTCACTGTGAACTGATGAAGAGTGAAGTGAGCAGAACCAAAACCATCTATATTCTAGTAAAAATGTTGTGATCCTTTGACCCAGTAATAGCACTTCTAGGGCTGTATTCCAAAGAGATCATAAAAATGGGAAAAGGACCCACATGTACAAAAATATTTATAGCAGCTCTTTCTGTGGTGGCAAAGAATTGGAAATTAAGGGGATACCTATCAATTGGAGAATGGCTGAACAAGTTATGGTATATGAATGTAATGGAATATTATTGTGCTATAAGAAATGATGAGCAGACAGACTTCAGAAAAACATGAAAATACTTGTATGGACTGATGCTGAGTGAAGTGAGCAGAACCAAGAGAATGTTGTATACAGTAACAGCCATGTTGTATGATGACTAACATTGATAGACTTAGCTCTTCTCAGCAATGCAAGGATCTAAGACATCTCCAATGGTCTCATGATGGAAAATTCAATCCACATCCCAAGAAAGAACTATGAAGTTGAATGCAGATTGAAGTATACTATTTGCTATTTTTTTTCTTCTGTTTTGTTTTGTTTCCTCTTTCTGGTGGTTCCTCCTATTGGTTCTAATTCTTCTTTACAACATGATTAATGTGAAAATATGTTTAATAGGAATGTATATCTATAGCTTATATCAGATTGTGTGCTGTCTTGGGGAGGGAGGTGAGGAGGAAAGGGGAGAAACATTTAAAACTCAAAAGCTTATGGAGGTGATTGTTGATAAATCAAAATAAATTAATAAAAATAAATTTTAAAAAATTGTGAAAAATGAACAATTTTGAAAAACTTAACTCTAACCAAACTATGTAAAATATAATTCCAGAGGAATTGCAGTTCACTTCTTGAGAGATAAGTGATGGGCTAAATAAACAGACTGAC